ACATTATAGGGATACCAGAAGAAGAAGAAGAGAGAAAAAGGGATAGAAAGTGTCTTTGAAGAGGTAGTTGCTGAAAACTTCCCCAATCTTGGGAAGGAGATAATCTCTCAGGCCATGCAGATCCACAGACCTCCCAAAACAAGGGACCCAAGGAAGACAACACCAAGACATATAGTAATAAAATTGGCAAAGATCAAGGATAAGGACAGACTACTAAAAGCAGCCAGAGAGAGAAAAAAGATCACATACAAAGGAAAGCCCATCAGGCTAACATCAGATTTCTCAGCAGAAACCATACAGGCCAGAAGGGAGTGGCATGATGTATTTAATGTAATGAAGCAGAAGGGCCTGGAACCAAGATTACTTTATCCAGCAAGATTATCATTTACATTTGAAGGAGGGATTAAACAATTCCCACATAGCAAAAGCTGAGAAAATTTACCTCCCAAACACCATCTCTACAGTCTATTTTGGAGGGACTGCTATAGATGGAAGTGTTCCTAAGGTTGAATATCTGTCACCAGAGGTAATAAAACCACAGTAAAGAAAGTAGAACAGCTAATTAATAAGCAAATGCAAAATTAAATTAACTATCCCCAAAGTCAATCAAGGGATGGATAAAAGAATACAGAATATGATACCTAATATATAAAGAATGGAAGAGGAAGAAAAAGGAGGAGAAAAAGAAAAGAACCTTTAGATTGTGTTTGTAATAGCATATTAAGTGAGTTAAGTTAGACTCTTAGATAGTAAGGAAATTAACCTTGAACCTTTGGTAACCATGAATCTAAAGCCTGCAATGGCAATAAGTACAAACCCATCGATAATCACCCTGAATATAAATGGACTGAATGCACCAATCAAAAGACATGGAGTCACTGAATGGATAAAAAAACAAGACCCATCTATATGCTGCCTACAAGAGACTCACTTTAAACCCAAAGACATACACATACTAAAGTGAAGGAATGGGATAAGATATTTCATGCAACTAACAGAGAAAAAAGCAGGAGTTGTAGTACTTGTATCAGACAAAATAGACTTCAAAACACAGAAAGTAACAAGAGACAAAGAAGGACATTACATAATGATAAAGGTGTCAACCCAACAAGAAGATATAACCATTATAAATATCTATGCTCCCAACACAGGAGCACCCACATATGTGAAACAAATACTAACAGAATTAAAAGGGGAAATAGAATGCATGCATTCATTCTAGGAGACTTCAACACTCTACTCGCTCTAAAGGACAGATCAACCAGACAGAAGATAAGTAAGGAGACAGAGGCACTGAACAACACAATAGAACAGATGGACCTAACAGACATCTACAGGACTCTACACCCAAAAGCAACAGAATACACATTCTTCTCAAGTGCATATGGAACATTTTCAAGAGTAGATCATAAACTAGGCCACAAAAGAGCCTCAGTAAATACAAAAAGATTGAAATTGTACCAACCAGTTTCGCAGATCATAAAGGTATGAAACTAGAAATAAATTACACAAAGAAAATGAAAAATTCCACAAACATATGGAGGCTTCACAACATGCTCCTAAATAACCAATTGATCAATGACCAAATAAAAACAGAGATTAAGCAATATATAGAGACAAATGACAACAATAATTCAACACCGCAAAATCTGTGGGAAGCAGCCAAGGCTGTGCTAAGAGGAAAGTATATTGCAATACAGGCCTACCTCAGGAAAGAAGAACAATCCCATATAAGCAGGGTAAACACAAAATTAATGAAACTAGAAAAAGAACAACAAATGAGACCCAAAGTCAGTAGAAGGAGGGACATAATAAAAATTAGAGCAGAAATAAATAAAATTGAGAAGAATAAAACAATAGAATCAATGAAAGCAACAGCTTGTTCTTAAAGAAAATAAACAAAATAGATAAACCCCTAGCCAGACTTTTCAAGAAAAAAAGAGAGTCTATACACATAAACAGAATCAGAAATGAGAAAGGAAAAATCACTATAGATACAATAGAAATTAAAAGAATTATTAGAGAATACTATGAAAAATTATATGCTACCAACTGGATAACCTAGAAGAAATGGACAACTTTCTAGAAAAATTCAACCTTCCAAAGCTGACCAAGGAAGAAACAGAAAATCTGAACAGACCAATTACCAGCAACGAAAGTGAACTGGTAATCAAAAAACTACCTAAGAACAAAATTCCTAGACCATATGGCTTCACTGCTGAATTTTATCAAACATTTAGTGAAGAGCTAATACCCATTCTCCTTAAAGTTTTCCAAAAAGTAGAAGATGAGGGAATACTTCCAAACTTATTCTATGAGGCCAGCATCACTCTAATACCAAAACCAGGCAGAGACATCAAAGAAAAAGAAAATTACAGACCAATATCCCTGATGAACATACATGCAAAAATACTCAACAAAATATTAGCAAACAGAATTAAAAAATACATCAAAAAGATCATCCATCATGATCAAGTAGAATTTATTCCAGGGATGCAAGGATTGTACAACATTCAAAAATCCATCAACATCATCCACCACATCAACAAAAAGAAGGATATCTCCATAGATGCTGAAAAAGCATTCAACAAAATTCAACATCCATTCATGATAAAAACTCTCAATAAAATGGGTGTAGAGGGCAAGTACCTCAACATAATAAAGGGTATATATGACAAACCACAGCCAACACTATACTTAACAGCGAGAAGCTGAAAGCTTTTCCTTTAAGATTGGGAACAAGACAAGGATGCCCACTCTCCCCACTTCTATTTAACATAGTACTGGAGGCCCTAGCTATGGCAATCAGACAACACAAAGAAATAAAAGGCATCCAGATTGGCAAGGAAGGAGTTAAACTGTCCCTGTTTGGAGATGACATGATATTGTACATAAAAAAACCCTAAGGAATCCACTCCAAAACTACTAGATCTAATATCTGAATTCAGCAACATTGCAGGATACAAAATTAATACACAGAAATCTGTGGCATTCCTATACACTAACAATGAACTAGCAGAAAGAGAAATCAGGAAAATAATTCCATTCACAATTGCATCAAAAAGAATAAAATACCTAGGAATAAACCTAATCAAGGAAGTGAAAGACCTATACTCTGAAAAACTACAAGACACTCATGAGAGAAATTAAAGAGGATGCCAATAAATGGAAACACATCCCATGCTCATGGATAGGAAGAATTAATATTGTCAAAATGCCCATCCTGCCTAAAGCAATCTGTAGATTCAATGCAATTCCTATCAAAATACCAACAGCATTCATCAACGAACTAGAGCAAATTGTTCTAAAATTCATATGGAACCACAAAAAACCTCGAATAGCCAAAGCAATCCTGAGAAGGAAGAATAAAGCAGGGGGAATTAAGCTCCCTAAACTCAAGGTACTACAAAGCCACAGTAATCAAGACAATTTGGTACCGGCACAAGAACAGATTCATAGACCAATGGAACAGACTAGAGAGCCCTGATATAAACCCAACCATATATGGTCAATTAATATATGACAAAGGAGCCATGGACATACAATGGGGAAATGACAGCCTCTTCAACAGCTGATTTAGGCAAAACTGGACAGCTACATGCAAAAGATGAACTGGATTATTGTTTAACCCCACATACAAAAGTAAACTCGAAAAGGATTAAATAGTTGAATGTAAGTCATGAAAACATAAAACTCTTAGAAGACAACATAGACAAACATCTCCTGAATATAAACATGAGCACCTTCTTCCTGAACCCATCTCCTCAAGAAAGGGAAACAAAAGCAAAAATGAACAAATGGGACTACATTAAACTAAAAAGATTTTGTGTGACAAAGGACATCATCAACAAAATGAAAAGGGATCCTACAGTATGGGAGAATATATTTGTAAATGACATATCTGACAAGTGGTTAACATCCAAAATATATAAAGAACCTACACACCTCAACACCCAAAAAGCAAATAACCTGATTAACAAATGGGCAGAGGATATGAAGAGACAGTTCTCAAAAGAAGTAATTCATATGGCCAACAGACACATGAGAAGATGCTCCACATCACTAATCATCAGGGAAATGCAAATTAAAACCACAATGAGATATCATCTCACACCAGTAAGGATGGTCAGCATTGAAAAAACTAGAAACAACAAATGCTGGTGAGGATGCGGAGAAAGGGGAACCCTCCTACACTGCTGGTGGGAATATAAGATAGTTCAACCATTGTGGAAAGCAATATGAAGGTTCCTCAGAAAACTAAAAATAGAAATACCATTTGACCCGGGAATCTCACTTCTTGGAATATACCCAAAGAATACAACTTCTCAGATTCAAAAAGACATATGCACCCCTATGTTTATCGCAGCACTTTTTACAATAGCCAAGATATGGAAGCAACCTAAGTGTCCATCTGTAGATGAATGGATAAAGAAGATGTTGTACATATATACAATGGAATACTATTCAGCCATAAGAAAGAAACAAATCCTACCATTTGCAACAACCTGGATGGAGGTGGAGGACATCATGCTCAGTGAAATAAGCCAGGTGGAGAAAGAGAAATGGCAAATGATTTCCCTCATTTGTGGAGTATAACAATTAAGCAAAACTGAAGGAACAAAATAGCAGCAGACTCAGAGACTCCAAGAATGAACTAGTGGTTACCAAAGGGGAGGGGTATGGGAGGGAGGGGTGGGGGGGAGGGAGGGAGAAAGGGACTGAGTGGTATTATGTTTAGTATACATGGTGTGGGGGATCACAGGGAGAACTCTGTATCACAGAAAAGTGACATAGTAGATCTCTGGCAACTTGCTGCACTGATGGACAGTGACTGCATTGGGGTACGGGTGGGGACTTGATAATATGGGTAAATGTAGTAACCACATTGTTTTTTCATGTTAAACCTTCATAAGAGTGTATATCAATCATACCTTAATTAAAAATTAAAAAAAATAATAACATGTGTAATACAGGACTTAAAGAGAAGTGCAGTTTTATACCCCTTTCAGTATCAGTATCTTGAATGGATTCCTGTTAATGAGTTTTTTCATTCTTAAATTGATACAAAAGCATGGCCATCAGCTCCCTTCTCCCATTCCATGAGCAATTCTTAATCCGAATGGGAAGCAGTAACTTGGAAAAACATTCTTCTATAAAACAGTAAGCAAGCATTCCTTATTTAAATCCATTTTGATAGATTAAAACAAACAAAAACAGGCTTCAAATGTTTTTGACACAGGGAAGAATGTTACCTGGTGGACTCCTGCTTGTAGATGTCAATGATATTTTCCACCAGCAGGTTCCTCTGAAGTCCATATATCCCATGTCTGTCCAAAACCACTTCATGTCTACAGGATGGGCAGCGGAATCGGCCCCCCGATGCCATGGTGGTGCCTCCTCTTGTGGGTAAATACGGGTTAGAGGCCTGTTCTTGCCAAGCAAGAGAAGAGAAATTGAGTAATGCCACAGGAAGCTTTTCTGAGGCTTTTTCACTCTCTATTACTACAAACAACATCAACGTCTAGTTTCAGTTTGCCATAAAATAATCCCTTAGGGCCTTAGCAGCAAGTGATCTTAAAACAGGGCCAGCACTTATCCACAGTCAACCGCAATACACTGTTTTCAGCATGAGGCACTTTCCCATCTGATGTTTTCATAACCAAATCTTCCAACCAGAAACACCTACATTAATGTCCTAGGCAGTACTTCATTTACAGTTTTGAAAGAGATTTAGTGTTTTATTTTTTAAAAAAACAAATTTGATTCTTAGCATTGGAAAAAAAACTAGATTTAGGAGCAAAGAGGAGGCTGACAGCAAAGCACAAAGTGAAGCATTAAAAAAAGAGTGTTTCTCTTGAAAATGAGTGCAGCCTTATAAAGTTTTCTAAAATTGACCTAAAAGTGAATGCTTGATTTGAAGAAGAGAGAGTCTTTTCCACCCCTTAAATACCAAACAAACCTACCTGGAAAATATCACTGGCACATTTCCTACACAGGTTATGCTGACAGGGGAGAATGACCACGGGTTTCGTGAACATCTCTAAGCAGATGGGACAGATAAGTTGTTTCTCCAAGTTATCCATGGTCTGCTGCTCTTTGGAAAAAGATTTGTAATTCAAAGCCGAGCTCATCTCCTGGCCGTCTCCCTGTGCACTGCCAGGGAAGGTGTTCTGAATGGTTTCTGCAAGTATTTCCTGGAAAAAATTCCAAGGCTTGTGTGATCAAGTGTCCTTTACGTTTCTTTCGGTGGAGGACATTGTTTCAGGCCCAGGTTCAGAGTGGGTGCTGGAGCTGTTTTTAGCAGCTGGGGGGTCACGTGACAGTGGGCTGACTTGCCCATATAAGCCAGTGACAGGAAGATGGATTCTGACAGGTGACAGAGAGCAGAAGCCAACATTCCTGCCCTGGGGAGTGAAGAGAGTGGGTGGGAAGGAGGATTACAAACCCCATTTAGAGAGCGTTGTGAGGAGAAGGGGGTCGAAGCTGACAGTTGTCAACAACAAATGCAAGTGTGCGTGCCTCGTCCCTGAGCTGTGCACTCTGTGAACACTCAGCAAGGGCTTGGTGATAGATTTCTCCAGGACTGGGGACAATGCAGCCCAAGAGTCTGACTGTATGACGAATGCCATTTCTGTCTTGGGCATTTGGGAAGTGAGTCCCTGAGAGCAGCCCAGTCACACCGTCTGAGGCGAAAACAAACAAAGCACATCTTGAAAATCCTTACCCTGGCTTCACAAGGACAGCCTTCTAAACATTAACTTTAAATATGTCACCTCAGGAGGGTTGTGAGCTGGGACAAATTCCAATTTAAAAACTGACTTCAAATCTTTTCAGTATAAAAAACGTCCCCCTTCCCACACACAAATCCAAACACCAATGATACAATTACTTTTTTAAAGTTGCTTAATAAAACTCTAGTATGCTCTTTTCCCTTCCGCATTGCCCTTCCTCCTCACTAACCCTCCTTCATCCTGTGTCCCCACAATGCCCCCTACACACACACAAAAACAGAAAGAAAATCTGACAACCTTTAAAAATTTAATTTAGCTTGCAACAGTCATCAGTGATGAGGTGGTAACTGGTATGTGGGGTAGTGGACCTGTTCACGTCATCATACCACAGGCACATTAATCGGGCGCCAGTGCCAACTGAAGGGAAAAGGGAGGCCTGCTCCCAAACCCGGGCTCTGTCTTTCCTGAAATGCCTACAATACCCCTTCATGCTTGCTTCCTGCTCCAAGCAGATTTTTTAAATGTTAGTATCCTTGGTCATTTCTGATAAACTCTGTCCATTCTTGAGTCATGAATATCGATTTGGATATTTGGCAGGATTTCGTGAAACAACTGTTTTGTCAATATATATTGTATTTAAAAATTTAAAGTCAGATGAATAATGAAAAAGAAATATATGCCTGTGTATATATGATAAACTTTCAGCTTTATTTCCGCTTTATTTTTAAGACGTCAACAGGAGTACATTTTTTTAACATGCCCCAGTGTGCCCTTGATCAACAATAGAGTAGGTCGGCATGACTAGTTATGTGTGGTCTTGGTGCTGTGTGCACCGAGAATTTATCGGGAAACTAATAAGCTCTATTAACTGATAAGTTATATGAATTCATAAACATTTCAGGGATCTTTAGAGAGTTTTGTTATTTCTTTCAATATTAGCAACTCTGATGAAGAAGGGAATTGTTCAAAGTCTTTTAGAGTTAATTCGGTTCACCTAGCCTAGGAAGTTAACTTTGTTTATTGATACATGGGCACAGGATGTGAATTATTTTCTAGGAAAGATGAAGTTTCTACAATAAAAAACCTTGCAACCTAAGGGAAAGCACTTCAATAAATAAAGTCCATTGTATGCGAGACTGTCCTTAAAAGAGGAATTCATCCCTTCCAAAAACATTTATTGAGGGTTTATCATGTGTCTCCATTGTGCTCTGCTCTGGGGATTGAAAGATAAACAAGACACAGGTCATTGTCCTCAAGGATCTCAATCTAATAGTGGAAATAAGACATGCATATACAGAACCACAATAGAAAACAGAATGTAATAAAGAGCTACAGAATCTCAGAATTGGAGGAATCAGGAGGGCTGCATGGGTGGAGAGGTGTTGGAATTAATTTCCAAGGAAGTTAAACAGATGGCCATGTAGTTAGGTGAGATATAAGTGGGGCTTTGTAAGAGAAGGCACATAAGGAAAGACAGTGAGGCACAGGAGTGTGGGAATGCTCAGAGCATATGGTGCTTTGGACTGGAGTGCAGGGCATGCTGCTGGCACATCGGCAGGGCATGAATACTGGACAAAAGTTTTTCACACTTAATAAATTAGGCAACGGGAAGTTGTTGAAAGTTTCTCACAGGGACATTTCCATGAGACCTGTGCATTGGTTAGATTAATCTCACAGTGGTAGTTGGGGTAGATTAGAGTGATGGTGAACCAGCTAAAGACCAGATAGAAAGTTAGTGCCAATTACCTAGGCAGAGAGGTCAGGACACCCTGGCATGGGGCAATGGCAGTGGGAAAGGAAAGGAGGAAATGGATTCAGCTATGAAATTAGAATCCACAGAGGTGACTCCCATGCCCTGAGTCTGAGCAACCACCAATGATGTGGTGAGAGACTGCCCAGTGACTCAGGGGACAGGCCTCCTGTGCGGCTTCCATGTCTCCCTTACTTTGTGGTCTTGGGAAACTGACCTCACCTATCTGGATTTCTGTTCTTTTATCTATAAACGAGTCGTGTTCATACCCTAACTTAGCAATGTTTGTAAGGACAAAATACACCTCTGAAACAATATTAATTTTGATGTTGAGAATCCTGAATTCAGTTATTTGATGTGAAGTTGATCCCTATCCTCTCCTCTTTTTCTTTCTGCACCTTCTGGTTCTCTGCCTTGTACTTTTTCTTTGATCTGACCATGGAGGCTAACAGGAAATAAGCAAGAATCCCACAGGAATAAGAGCCAGACTGATGGATAACATCACCTTCCCTTTTTCATTCTCTTTTGTCCGTTTCCTGCTCCTCCCTACTCTAGAGACCGGCAGTCCATAGGCTGGACACGTGAGTTGGGAGTGGGACCTGGGGGAAGCACTCAGCTCTAGGAAGGAACCAGCAAGTTTTAGTCTGTTCCCAAGTCATTCACAATGTTTGGGAGAGAGGGAAAATTCTGGAACTAAGTCAGAATTGAAGTCAACTTCAAGACTCTGGGATTTGGAGTGGATCTGGCCTCCACAGAGCCATGAAAACCAGCTGAGTGTCCTGATGGTATCCTGGACCATATAGGAGTGACACATGACTTCGTCCCTTCTCTTACTAGGACCAGGGGGTTGAAACCAAGTGAGGGCAACTACACTGGGAGCTAGCTTAGGTGGAAGCCCTGACTGACTCTCATCCCTGAGTCTCACTAGACTGGTGCAGAAATACATTTAGACACATAAAGAAGCTAAAACCAAACCACCACTGTGCTTACCTCTAAGCAATGACTGTAGAAAAAGAAGACGTTTGACCTCTTTCAACTTCTAGTTACCAAGCCAAAGGGACCGAGACTTCAGGGGTCAGGTCATAGGAGTGAAATGTACATCTCAATATGCTCTTTAATTTACAAAGGAAGAAAAGAGGGTTTTAAAAGAGGGTGTACTACACCACCACAACAAACATGATAAATATGTAGAGTTCCAATCACTTCTTACAGTAGCTCTCTGTCACAGGTATTATTATCTTCATTAAGCTGACTGTGGCTCAGCAAATCTAATGACTATCCCAGAGTCATATGGCTGCTAGTTGTGAAGCAGATTCAGAGACACATCTTTTGATGACAAAGCCCATGACCTTGCCCATAAAGTTGTACCACACCCATGCTCCACAGCACACTGTCCATTAGAATGTTCTGCAATGACATAAATGTTCTATATTTGTGCTGTTGAGTACTTGAAATGTGTATATAGTGCAACTCAGGATCTTAATTTTGAATTTTATTTAATTTAAACTTATGTTTAAACAACCATATGTGGCCAGTGCTTACCATATTGGACTTACAACTCTAGAACATGTGACATAAAAAAATCTTGGGGGAAAATTGGAATGTATATGAAGGATTCTCCAGCAGGAACTCAGTCACCCTCTTGGTGGATTTTGTACGTCTGGTCTGGGTGATAAGGAACTCCAAAATAGAAGACCAACATCAATTTTTTATCCCAACTTGCAATACAACACAGACCATTCTAGGAATAGGAGACCTTAGAAAAACCCCAGGGAATTAGTGTCAGGAGTGCTAGCTTCCTGAGCAGTCCAGAAAGTCCTCAGCATTTCAATGACCCATGTTCTCCTTGTCTCTTGCACAGGTAATTGCAAATCCAGGTACTTGAAAATAATCCAGGCTTAGCTCAAGGAGCTAGTCATTCATCAAACAAAACAGAGGATTTATGGTCATATGAAAGGTGGAGCTAAAGGAAAGTGAAAAATAGGTATAGTTTGATGTAAAGCGATGAGAAGGATAGAGTGTAGCCCTGGCCGAAGGAAGAGAAAACAAGAGGAACTAGAAGGTTGATTTGGCTTTCGGCTCAACCTCTAATGTAAAAAGGAAGGAAAATTCTTCCTTTTTATACCCACCAGAAGTGGGCAAGCTGGTGGCTGACTAAATCATTAAAACAGGGCAAGATCACCAGATGATGTGAATATGAAGGCAGGAAGTTGGGGGATGACGAAGCAGGAAGTTTAGTTAGCCTGGGACACAAGGGCATGAGTGGACTGAGACTTTCAGATCAACTCCAGCACAAATTAAATCTCCTGAAAATCACTTTAATCCCTGCCACAACAAAGGTCAACACTTAATATTGTGCAGACCATGTCCTTTTAAACTAAGACAAGGAGGTTGTTAATTCTTCCTTGCAATCATCCATCCATCCATCCATCCATCCATCCATCCATCCATCCATCTGTCCTTCAATCAGTAATAGCACCATTTGTGACCACTGGAGAGAAGGCAGCACTTTATTTGGGATTTGGATGAACTGGTGTTCCAAGAGCCAGGCTGCCTGTTGATCAATCCTGCCAGATATGGCCCATCTGACCACAAGAGACCTATGTAGAATATAATGTTATTTATTTTGGTATCCTGAAGCTCATGATATGGCCCCCAAAAGAACCTTGTAACCATTATTTGCCATAAGAATTTGCATTATATAATAACCGTAAAGTTACTTCAAATATAGTACAATATAACCTAGAACTCTCTCCAGTGAAAGGATTCTTGCATCTTCTTATACCAGGAACTTGCCTCATGACATTGACAAAATATTTAACTTTCCTTCTGTCTACATGTCGATCTTTTCAGTTTAGCTGTCCATCTGACAATAGGCCGCTTGGATGTGTGATTTTGAAATTTTTAATTAGAAGAAACATTTTACAGAGTCTAAAATCAAAGAGAAACTAACTAACTAACTTGAAAAGTACTTAATGGAAGCTAACACTATGGCATGTCTTTCATTAGATGGTTTGCGAACTTCTGGCTGAAAGCTTTTTTTTCTTCTTGGTAATTACTCCTTCAAATCTATTGTTTATAAATTTTAATTAATCATAAAAATCTCTGAGAAAACTAACATATTGGACATGCTAGAAATAAACAATGACAGTCCGAACAAGTGGCAAATGCTCTAGCCTAAGAGCTTCTCAATGGCCATGTCTGAACTCCTCACCTTGGCTGGGCCTTTCCTGACTCTACCTTAAGCACATACCATCCCCCACAACCTCCCTTCCACCTCAGCCTCCTAACTGATTTCTCTGAATTCACTCTTGTTTTCTGCAATCTATTTCTCATTCATCACTCCCTATTTAAATCCCATTAATAGTCATATTACCCCTTAGATAAAGACATTAATCCTCACTGTGGTCCCTAAAGCCTGACATGATCTGGCTCCTACCTACCTCTCTGACCAGTAAAAATAAGATGTGAGTGACAAATATGAGCCATATAAATTATTTAAGATCTCTAATAGTCCCATTAAAAAACAGAAACAAATGAAATTAATTTTATTAACATATTTTATTTAATCCAAAACATACAAACTATTCTTTAAACATATAATCAATATTTTTTAAAAAAGAGATTATCTGTAAATATAGTTTTATACCTTCCTTTCCAATTTGGAGATCTTTTATTTCATTTTTCTTGCCTTATTGCACTGGCTAGACACCCCAGAATGACATCCTTGCTTTGTTCCTGATCTCAGGAGGAAAGCATTCATGCAATAAATATAATGTTAGTTATGTGGTTTTCATTAATGCTCTTTATCAGGTTGAAGAAATTCCCTTCCAAGTCTGCTGACAGTTTTAAAAATCAGGAATGGATGGTGAATTTTTTCAAATATCTTTTCTACATCTACTGAAATTTCTTCTTCAGTCTGTTTATTATAATGAATTACATTGATTTTTGAATGTTGAACTAGTCTTTATTCTTGGAATAAGTCCCACTTGGTCATGATGTATTTTCCTTTTTATAGATTGTTGGATTTAACTGGCTAAAATTTGGTGGAAAATTTTTGCATCTATATTGGCTTCATAGAATAAGTCGGATAGTACTCCCTCTTCAATTTTCCTGATATTGGTGTATAATTAGTATTATTTCTTCCTTAATTATTTGGTAGAATTCATTACTAAAGCCATCTGGGTCTGGTATTTTCTGTATAAAAGAAATAAATGAGTTCATATACATAAAGTAACTAGACCTGTGCTTGGCTTGTAAAAATGCCAATAAATGATAGATGTTATTTTTTAAATTCATTATATTTCTAATTAAAAACAGTAAACATTTATTGCAGAACTTAGAAAATAGTTAAAAATTTTTAAAAAGAGAAAAACTACAGTAATTCTATGTAAAGTTCACTATTAACATTTCAATTCATTCTCCAGTCTTTTCTACAGGTAACTTATGCTTTAAATTGTTATTGCTTATATTGCTCTGTACCTACTTTATTCGTTTAACATTCTATTATTAACAGTTCCCCTATCAATAGATGTTCTTAATATATTAATTTAAATGGCTGCACATATTTCATTATTTGGTCATACCATAATTTATTTAACCATTATTTTGTATTTTAAGAATTATTTTACCTTCCCTGTGCAGTAGATCCATGCATCTCTTTCCTACATTTTCATATATATTTATATAAATGCACATACAAACCCTAAGAATATTCCCTCCAGGCTTTCTCTCTATCGTGTACTGAAAACAGCTCGTGTTTATTGTGTGTTTACTCTATGACACTGTAATAAGAGCTTTACATGTTTTATCTTAATTAAAAGTAGTTTTATTACAGTACTTATAATAAATAATAGTACTTATATAGTACTTATAATAAACTATTAAAAGTAGTTGTATTATAGTATAGTATTATATATTAGTAGTACTATTATTATCATCCTATTTTACAAATGAGGAAATGGATGCAACAAGATGTCAAGTAGGCAACTTACCCAAAGTCACCCAGTTAGGGAATGAAGCCAAGAAAGGCTATGAGGGTTTACAGTCCACATGACTGACTATTATGCATTAGTGTCTTTTGGCTTATTCCTTTAGACTTTTTATATGAATTCCATTCCACACCTGATCCTAAGACATTGTTCAAGTTCTTGACTAGCTCACATACCCCAAACATGTTTTTCACCCAGATTTTTGGGTGAGCTCCTTCTTATTCTTTTGACTTATTATGCAGTTCTTGCTCTTTCAGTCATTTATAGTTTTGCTGTCAGCTCTTCCAGTCAGCCAGCTAGAATACGTATCATCCCAAACAGCAGCAGGGACATGTCACATGATAAAAGGTTTCTTTTTCCCTACTTTGTAAATTTGTCATGAAAAGGATGATATATTTTAAGTGAATCAATATACATTCAATTTAAAGACTTTATTGAAAAGAATAAAATGAGATAAAAAATGGAGACTGCTCTAGAAAATGAAAGGTATACCAAAAAACGAAGCAGGCTGTACATTTAAAATAATGTACAGGTTGCCTAGAACCTAAAATGGACATGGGAGAAAGAATTATCATTTACTTATTGTGATCCTTAAAAAAAAGGTAATATTTCTGCCTTTGTCTAGATTTATGTTTTGTACTGAGAACTGCAGTAGGGTTTCAACAGCTTTTTAATGACTATATTCTCAAAAATTAGGGAGAATTACCAGAAAAGCCTTTGTGTGTGTTCTTCTCAATTTCTGAATCTTTCAGTGAGCATGTATGTGTGTTTGTTTACAGAATAGACTAGATTCAAAGGCACCCTTCTATAGAACTTTTATTCAGTTAGTTACCACTCAAGTGCTGGTCTCTAATTCTTCAGTTACTCCCCAGGAGGAAAATGGCGATAGAACCCTCCAGCAGCAAGCCTCTGGTTCAGGGCCTCTGTCCTCTGCCTGGCCTTTCTTCAGGGATGCCTTGTTTTATCCTTTCGATCTTGGATCTGTCCAGAGCTGGGGACCCCATTGTGGGGAATTGAGATGGAGCAGAATAGTTCTAGCTTCCCCTGCTTAATGCAAGTTTTAGGTAGCCAGAGTCCTTTTCCAAGTTTTCTGTTTTGTTTGCCTGTCAGTTCCCCCTAAATATAGGCGATTTAGCCTCTGATGGGACCCTGGAATTCAGCCGTCAATCACAAATCAGTCACAGCAGCAACAAAGACGACTATAATCTGTTACTATTTTCGGAGAGAAAAAAAATTTTTTCATGAACTTCCCAAAGTAAACGGGTCTAATATTTTTAAATTGTAAGATTAAATTGTCGCATTATCCCTAGTCTCGGAAGTTCTACAGCTCTCCCTATTGCTCACTTGCTTAATGGCCTTTGGCTCCACTTCCAGTTGAATTAGAATCCAAAGAAAAGATAGTACAAAAAAAAAAAAAACCAAAACAGAAAACTGGAGGATGCGGGCATCGATCCCGCTACCTCTCGCATGCTAAGCGAGCGCTCTACCATTTGAGCTAATCCCCCACAGCTGGGCAAAGCTGCTTTAATCTTCCTCTAGGTAAGTTAGTGGACATGAAAACGAAAATAAATAATATTAATCACACCTTTTACGTGTCTCATAACTAAGTAAAAAGTAACAAAATAGTCAACTTTTCCTTCGAGCCGGAGTCGAACCAGCGACCTAAGGATGTCCGAACGTACAGTCTACAGTCCTCCGCTCTACCAACTGAGCTATCGAAGGATACAGGAAGCTGCGTTCTCGATTTCTATCTATAACGTTTAGTCATCTAGGTTTCGTGTGCTTTCTACCCCGTTTCTTTCGTAATTTCCTGCCGAGAATATCGGATACTTCCCGCAGACCTCCCACCTTCTCGGGGCATTCACAGAGAGCGCGCGCGGCCGACCCTGCCGGGAGCTCGGAAAAAAAGAAAGGAGGCCGGGCCCCGGGGAGCCGGCGGCTGGCCGGGGACTCGCGTTCGCCTTCCGTCGGTGACTCGCGGGGCTCGGGAAACCTGACGGTAGAGAATAAACTGAAAGCTGACCCTGTAGCCAACTGCCCGGCGCAGACTCACGCTTGGAACTAGGACCCTAGCTAGGTACAGCTTCAAGGATTCGCAAAAGATTTCAGGGGGTATACCGCAATAGGCCCAAACTGGAACGAAAGTGCAAAATGTTCCAACTTTAGGATGCAAAGGTATTTAGAGCAGCGTGCTCCTAGAAAGAACCAGGAGTCACGTTGGTGGGAAGAAAACAAAATCGTGCGTCTCCTTCGAGCCGGAATCGAACCAGCGACCTAAGGATTTCTTTTGTTGGAAAGCCAACTACAGTCCTCCGCTCTACCAGCTGAGCTATCGAAGGGACAAGATAACTCGGCGCCTCTTGAGGTTCAACACATAGGAAACGGAATGTGTAAAACCACTGGCTAGTGGTCAAATCAAATATGTGTAACCACGAAGATAGAGGTGGGTATGTGCCCGTGTTGTTTAACGCGTAACCTAGCTCTGGGTTGGGGGGATTCTAAGCCAGGAAAGGGCTCTGAACTAGTTTTTCCAGGGCCTATGGTGTCAAGACTCAGCAACTCCGACGCCCCCCCTCACACACATCTGGTACACATTTCTTTTACTGATCCCCTTAGCATTACTGTCAGGTGGGCCGTAGAACTTTATAATTTGTATATTTCCTTAATCCCTTTTGGCGTGAAGGGCCAGTGGCGCAATGGATAACGCGTCTGACTACGGATCAGAAGATTGTAGGTTCGACTCCTGCCTGGCTCGCGCTTTTGTCAATTTAACATTTTAAAACCAGAGTTTATGACTCCCCTCCGGTTCCCCACACCACAAGTACCAAAAGTAATTTACCGCATTTAGAGTTCTGAGGGCCTATAGGAGCAATCCTCAATACAGCCACCTGGAACCTGCCAGGTACTGAGAGGTTCGCGAGCACTAAGGGGAGGTAGTCGCCAGACCCCCCTGGGGATGAAAGAGGTGCGCGGAAGCCGGGAAAGCCGGGCGGGCTGGAGGGCTCCGGGTAGGGATCCGCGAAGAGAATACCGCAATGCCCTCGGCGAGGCTTGTGAAAATCCCAGGGCTGCTCCCACCGCAGTTTAATTCGTTTGGTTTTGTAAAATGAAAACAACACGGTCACTGAGTCACTGGAGAAACTGCCCCAGCCATCCGCGACAATGCAGAGGAAATTAAGGTTACTTACGGTGTCTTTTTGATCAGGTTTCCGTATGACAGTTGATTGTAACAAAGGTTCGGAATTCCTCCTCGGTTGTAAGCACAGCATTAAAACCATGTTCTGACCTGGGTCCTTCCCGCAAGGGTCTTACGAGAGGGCATATGTTGGTTTGAACAAACCTGAGTTTTTAATCTGAAGTTATTATGTTGATCTTATTTGTGGACAGGAATTTAGAATTATGTCTTAAATCTCTTCAGGTAAGACAGCAATTCCCAAAATCGCTTTACAGTTCGGGAAGAAGTAAATTGGGGAAGAGAAAATGTGAAGTTAGGGAAATAAGGCTAGTATTTAAATGGTAAATTAGCTTCCTTAGGACTCTACAAACGTTTTAAAGAAGGTAAAAACAGCTGGGGGAGCAAGCACAGACTATTTGAACAAATTGAAGATGGGTTTTATTTGTTTCCTAGTGAACATTTTGCCACTTCTCATGTAACAAGTTGATATATCTTTAAATAGTGTTTCTGATAGTTTAAAAAAAAATTACCTCTCTGGGAAGTTGAGGAGATATGTTGCACCCTTCCAGCCAAGTTTATGTACGCTAGGCTAAGAAGAAAGAGCCTCCCATCTTCTCATACTTTCTCCTGATTTTAGGAGGGTGGCCAGCAAGGTGTTGGTTAGTTGCAGCCATGGCCAACATTGCACTGTTGGCAGAAACCCTGGCCCCTTGGTCAATCCACTTTTTGATGCCCCCTCTTCCCCACCAGCCAGGGAGATCAGAGTAACAGGTTCCGAGAGGGCCAAGATGGTGGATGATTTCTGGTTCTTTCACTTGTGACAGAAGTTCACGCAACTAGTGTAAGCAGGAGAGATACTGTACTGGTAGAGGGGTGTCTCAGGGAAACCAAGCAGGAAATATAACTGGGCCCTCTGTGGTTTTTCTTTCAGTGCCTCTCAGCTCCTCTCTGTGCTTCTCTAGTGCATATGGTTGGAAACATGGTGCTGCCCTCCCACCCCCAAAGTTCCTGACCTTTCTCCCTCACAGTCTATTGCTGTAGCTTGAATGTTTGTGTCCCCTCAAAATTCTTACGTTGAAATCTAATGCCCAAGGTAATGGTGTTAGGAGACGGGGCCTGTGGGCAGTGACTAGGTTATGAGGGAGGAGCCATTATGAATGGGATTAGTGCCCTTATAAAAGAGGCCAGGAGAGATCTCACCTTCCTTCCACTATGTGAGGACACAGTGAGAAATCTAGCAGTCTGCAATCCAGAAGAGGCCCTTCACCAGAACCTGATCATGCTGGCACCCTGATACTGGATTTCCAGACTCCAGAACTGTGAGAAATAAGTATATCTACTGTTTATAAACCACCTAATCTGGTATTTTGTTATAGCATCCTGAATGGAGTAAAACATGTATCAACCAGAGACTCAGTTCTCTCAGTCATGACTGCAAAACTTTGCATTGTCCTGGCCTCAGTTAGGTGCTCATCCCTGGTCCCTCAGTTGAGTCCTGGGGTCTGGATTACATGCAGTGGTCAGGGCTGGCTCACCTCTCTCCATGTGGTTACCTCCCTTCCTTCCTAGGATCCCAGTGAAAAGATAATAAAGATATACAAAAGAAAAAGTTTTATTGCAGCATGCAAAACAACAGAGATATGATCAGCAGACCTGGGATTTTAACTAATTTATGGTGTGTGGAAAGCAAATGAGATTATATGGACCCATAGCTCAAAATGGAGAAAAACACAGGTCAGAACACACATTCTAGAAGCTAACAGAGATGGGACTTTTCTCCCCATGGAGCTCCAAAAGGGCCCCAGACACAGAGGCAGCAGCAAAAAGGTCAGAGGCCCACAACATTGTACAGCAGCTACTGCATTTTTCCCCAGGTGGAGCTGCCTGGAGACCTGCTTAAGCAGAGTAGATTTGCCTGTGGGAGCCCATACGGTGAGTATAGGGCTGGGAAGAGAGGCAATGATTATTAGAGCTTAATAATCATAGACACAGAGAGGAAGAAAGCCAGCCCACCCCACTCTCAGAGTGAGACCCTCTTTGAGTTGGCACTTTGGGGGATATTGGACCAGCACCATTATGTCCACTGAGGCACCATTAATGAAAAGGCCTGCTTGTCCCCAAGGCCAAACTTAAAAAAGAAAGTCTGAGCTGAACAAACAAAGGAACTGAGCCAGGAGGAAACTCAGGGGCAATGCAGGGAATAGTACAGAACTATTTTTTCAATTGCTAATTGATATCCTCAGGGACATCTAAAACAATATTGCAGCAATAAGCACCAGAACAAGCTGATATTAAAAGGAGCAATGAGAGAATAATTGAGTTCTTGAAAACAAAAAGTGTGATTGCTAAGGGGAAAACATTGGTCATGGCTAAAGATCAAATTTGGAGATAGAAAAAAGGGTAGAAAATATCTCTGAGGAAACCAGAATACAGAGAGAAGAAAATATAAAAGTAAAAGCATGAAGGATAGACCCAGAAGACATTGCAGCTCCAGAGTTCCAGAAAGAGAAAGCAGAGACTCTGAAGGGGAAGGAATAGAAGAAAGACATTAGTCAGCAGATCAAAAGGGCCTTCCAAGTACTACGAATGAAAACAACCATGCCTGGACACAGCATGTGAAAGTTAAAAGCAATGAGGGAACCCTAAAAGCCTTCAGAGATGGGAACAAAAGCAAACAAAAAACAGGCTAGCTACAAAGGAATGGGAATAAGGCCTGTGATCAGACTTCTCATCAGCAATACTGGATGCTAAAAGACAGTAGAGCAAGGCCTTCAAAATTCTGTGGGGAAATAATTTTGAACCTAGGCTTGTATAACCAATCAAGGTAGCAATCACAGACGGGGACACACTTACAGAGTCTCATAAAGGTTAAAGCCCATGATTCCTTTCTGAAACAAAAAATAGACATTAGTAGAGGATGTTATACTGACTGGGTTCTCTAGGGAGCAGAAGCTGACACAGAACTAGATGCAAACTTTTACTGAGGGGTACCAGCTGTGAAGAGAGAAGGGGAGGATTCAGGACTAGGTAGGAGTAGCTGTTAGACAGCGGTGCAGACCTGGTGATAACACCTAGAGGCTGTCAGTGAACCTCCTCCTTGGAACTGGGCAGTGAGTCCTTTCTTGAAAGGCAATCTAGCTACAAATCTGTATCTGTGACAGATGTACTTCAGTAAAATAAAATAAGAATCAGAAGAAGAGTAGTACACAGGATTTAAGAAAAAAGGGGCCCAACAAAGAACTCAAAATAAATCCCAGGTTGACAATGATGCAGAAGCCAAGAAAGCAATCTAGACAATTTAGGAAAAAAAGGTTAGAGGATTTTTCAAAAAGTAGATTCTTTCACAAGTAATGTGTTTAAGGTCCAGGAAGACCTTAGAGATATGATAGAGCAAACCAAAGGTAATTAGGAATTTCTTTTGAAAGAGCTTTATAAGGAACTCATGGTCCAAATATAAAGCAAACCGAAATTCTGGCACAATTTTTAGAAACTGGTGGTGTGTGTTATAAGTAAATCTCTGTCTCTCCCTCAAAAAAAATTTATTGATGCCCTAACCCCCAGTACCTCAGAAAGTGACCATATTTGAAGATAGGGCTTTTACAAAGGTAATTAAATGAAAAGATGGTCATTAGGGTGAGGCTCATTCAATATGACTAGTGTCATTATAAGAAGAGATTAAGACAAAGGGAGAGAGAAAGAGATAGCAGAAATGTATGTGCATATTTATGAGCCAAGGAGTGAGACCTCAGAAGAGATCAGACCTGCCAACACCTTCTTCTTGGACTTCCAGCATCCACACTGTGAGAAAATGAATCTTTGTTTGTAAGCCACCCAGTCTGTGGTATTTTATTATGGTAGCCCTAGCAAACTAATATAGTGATGGTAAGGAAAGAGGAATTTGCTTTCTTTTCTGCAATCTTTGGTATTGTTTGCATTTTTAACTGTATGCAAGTTATTTGATATAATACACAGGCAGACAGTCTCATTAATTGTCATCTATTACTACATCCAATAAAAAAAATTGCTTAAAAATGAAGGAACTGATGCTCAAAGATGTGAAATGGCTTACCTTCAGAACAGAGTTGAGCACTGAGATCTCACATCTCCTGAGTTACCAGCAGGACTTTCTCCTTGGTGCTACTTGGTCTCCCTGTCCCCAGACAGACACTTGAATTAAAGAGTGGGACTGCAAACCCTGGGAGGAAGGAGGTGGAAGGTGGTTTCTGATGTCAGGAAAAGTCAGGTGACAGCAGGACATTCTGGGAGTAGCAAAGTGTTCCATTACTAAAGGGAACCCTCTTATTCTAGAACCCCAAAATCAAATCTGTAGAATTAACAGGGGTACTGCACAAAAGTTACATTAAGATACCCTAAGACCTGAAGAACAAAAATCCCCTGTTTAATTGAAAAATACCTAAAACATATGCTCATGAAGAAACTTCTAAGGTCTTCCTTTCAGTTGAAGAAACCATTCTACAAATCAGGAAGCTCTACCAAGAAAGTTTAAGCAGTTTATTTCAGGGTGACCCTCCAGATTGCAGGAGCAGTGCTGAGCTCTCCTGATTCCTCGTCTGTGTCTTTCTGTAAACATATACGTCACCAAGAAGGATACTGCAGGAAACCAGAAAGAGAATGTTTCCAAGGTCAGAAAAGGAACCATTCTGGAGCACTCCATGGGAGATAAAGTAGATTCTTTTTATTCACATAAATTAGGTTCGATAAAGTCACCACAAACACTTATTTAGTGAATACTGAACCATTGCTCCTAGGGGAAATGCAGGGTTATGTTCCCATGAGCCTCTGTTCACACCATTTTTATTAAGAGATCAATATATAACCTTGTTTTATGTATGTTTCTGTTTAGACATATTTAATATATATTGATTCATTGACATTGAACTCACAGCCAACAGCATTACTTCTGCCTGAAAGTTTATCTACATATTTTCTCCATTGGGCACATCATAACCTCTTGCACTTAGGAACATTAGACATCACTTAAGCACTATGCTTTTAACTTCTGAAATGATAAAATCACCAATAAAAGCCACAAAGCTCCAAAAACTGTGGCACTTGTTTATAGTAAATAAGCTGAAACAAGAAGGCAGCATTATCACTTTGTCCTGCCTCAGCTGAGAACAGATGTGACAGCCAACTCAAATTTCTCACCATTCTGTGTATGTCTGTGAATGACCACGGAACAAATTTTAGCAAGTGGGAAAATTTGCAAATATGGAATCTGTGAATTATGAAGATTGACTGTATTATTAACCCAAATTAAACCTTGAATTACGTAAAATGACTATATCAAAAGATCTTAATGAGACCAACCTTCCATCTCCCTTAACAGGAACCATTTGTCCTATAGGGACAAGACAGACCCATCAAATTCCCAGGGCTCCCTGAGCCCCTGAAAACTCACCTCCACTCTTTTACACTTAGGGAAAGTGGGGTTATTATCTAGTTCATACAGTGTCTTTCCCGATAGTAGGATTTAGGGGGCTGGGGAAGGATGTCACAGGGAGTTTTCTTCAGAGATGCATATTTATTCCTTAAACAAACATTTATTTAATCTCTACTATGTGTTAGGCACTGTTCTATTGCCAGGATGTAACAATAAGCAAAACAGAAACAAAGCTCTTCTCTGATGGAGCACACATTTTGAAGGAGCAGACAATGAGTTGACAATAAACATACACCTTAGGCTCAATAGTGGTGAGTTGCCAAAGGGAAAGATAAAGCATAGGCAGATCTTGAGTGTAGAGGGTACTGTGCTTTTCACAAAGGCAAACTGACGTAGACCACCAGAAGCAAAATAAGTTGCTACAAAATACACACCCTTATAAACATATACACACAAACACACAGTTATTTTAAATGGTGGCATATAAATTCTTTTCAAAAAGGTTAAAGTTTGCCAAGTTGTATTTCCTTTGTATTATGAATAATAAAGGATTATTAATTTAGTAGCCTGGCTTAAGTAATGGTATACTTTTGCAAACAGAAACTGCACAATTTGTACCTTATTTTGTACAGTGAAGAAATTGGAGTATAATTTCACTTTTATTATGAATGGATAACATTAAAGTTGTCTTGGAAAGGTTATACATCTCATTGTATGAATGGCATTGAAATGTCTTGTTTTTATATATAATAGCAAGTGTTCTCATCCTGATCTTATGGAATCAGAATAAGGGAACAGAATTTATAGATCTATGGTGTGGATAAAGTGAAGGTTTCTATGGCCAGGATCCTCAGCTGAACCTAAACTACTTGATGATGTAACGGGCCTGCTGCTAGGCTACTGCTTCCACACCCATAGGCAATTAGCTATTATTGGCTGAGTCACTATATAAAGAGCTCTACCCAGTGCTGGACCTATCGCTGGGGGAACAAGCTGGGTAATAAACCCTTTCGCCCCAAGAATGTTCCATTGTCATTCCTGTTTCACTGAATCCATAGTGAACTTGCCCAGAGTTGAAACCCATTGGCAAGACACTAAGTTAGCTTTAATATTGCTTTAAATATTGCTTTGTGCAATTATAATAAATGGTCCTGAAAAATGCCAGTTTAGTGTGTAGTTAATGTATACATGCCCAAATAGATAATTATTTTTAAAAATTTAAGAAAATGTGGTAATTTCATTCCCAGAGAACATTTGCACTAAAAATTTTGTTCTTCACCAGGAAAGAAAGTGTGTTATAGAGGAAACTTATCTGAGAAGAGATGAATCTGGACAACATCTCAGGAGTGAAGATACTTGGGTACCAGACCAAATTATTCAGAAGTAAACAGTAAAAAACCCTCACTAGGTAAGATCTAGTCTTCCTTGCCCTCCAAACATGGATGTGCCTGGGGGTGCTCTCAGGAGAAGCTGATAATCAGATTCTTCACAATTAGAAAGCTCAGTTAGCGGCCCAGTGGTGAGCAGAATATGTTAAGAGCTGTAACTGCTGACCTAATTCTAGGAATTGAGTTTTGCTTCTTGGGGACAACCTAGAATAGCATGAAAACTCCAAAAAGTTGTATCACACCCATTCATTTGGCACTGAGCATGTTTAAGCCTCCTTTTGAAGAAAAGCTTTTCCCAGAAATGGCATATGTTGTAAGACTTAATCAATCAACAAGTATTTATTAGTTTCCTACTCTATTTTTAGTTCTAAGATGTAGATCTTAAAATCACTGCTAATTGGAGCCATCTATGATTTGGAAATGGCTTTGTTTTACAGACACTGGTTATACATAATTTTAATTTCTGGCCCTCTGTTTGGAACTGCTCAGAAATAATGTAAAGATGATTGCTACTTAGGTGCTCTGGAGGGCTACAGGCTGGAAAAAGGGGGGTCAAACCGTTTTAACAAGAGTAAGAATTGTGTTTCTTGAATAAGCACTTTTTTCTTAGGTTGGAGGACAGTTGCCCTGGAAATGGACGTTTACCTTCATATCAATGAGGAAGAGAGAGCAGTCTGCTGAAAATTTTAACAAGACAGCTCTGTAATTGGGTCAGGGGCTTGACTGGCTCCAAGTTAACACATTTATTTTTGTATTAATTTATGTTTGCATATACAAGCATTTAATATGCTAAGCCACCCTAAAAACTAAGGATTCTAGCAGCGTTTATGTTTCTAGCTGGTAACAATTTCCCTATTTTACAACACAGATTTTAAACATTTAGTCTTTTAACAAATATTCCCTGACTGCCATGTGTCAGGTGCTGTTTTAAGTCCTGGGGACTCAGCATTCACAAAGATGGACAAAAACTTTGCTCTTGTGGTGTGGCAGACAGAGAATAAGATAAAAAGTATGTTAATGAAAGGTACTAAGGAGAAAAAGTAGAAGAGAATAGGGAGCGTGAGGTGGGGAATGGCATAGGTCTAGGCAGAGTGGTCTGGGAAAGCCCGCAGCAAAATGATGTGAGGAAAGACTGGGGAAAGTCCCTTCATGCTCTAAATATGTTATATGTTGTAAATTAATCTCACTGTGACTTGGAGCTGCAGTTTGACAATTTGAAAGAAATTTCACCTCAGTCAGGTTTTGAGAGTCTCTCCCCTACCTAGGATGTAAGGGGTCTGCAGGGTTTCATGTCTTTGTCCTCCAAGTGAGTTTTGAGCCCCTAGTCTTGCTCCAGCCTTGTTGCTCCTGAGGTCTCTATGTCCAGTCCTGCATGGTTCCTTTCAGGGCCCAGATGTGGACACATGAATCTTTAGTTATGGCTACAAAGCCATGACTTCCTTTTGTCCCCCAGGCATCCAAGTGCTCTCTCATCATAGGGGCTCTCCCCTGTGGGGACACAAGTCTGGGCTCCCTAAAAACTAAGGATTCCAGCAGTGTTTATGTTTCTAACTGGTAACAATTTCCCTATTTTACAACACAGATTTTAAACATTTAGTCTTTTAACAAATATTCCCTGACTGCCATGTGTCAGGCGCTGTTTTAAGTCTGATATAGGTCCTTGTCCCTTACCAAATACTTCTTTTTTTCACTCCATCCTGAGTCTCAACTTTTCACCTTCGTCCCTTGTCTTCCCCGTTTCTCAGTACTCCGTCTCCTTCCTTGTCCTTCTCCTGTGTCTACTCCTGTGTATAATACTCTGGAAACTCCCCTCAAACCTCCCAAACCCATCTTTCATCCAGAAGCCCATCAGAATGGGGCTACTTCTCTTCCTTGGATTTCAGCACACACCTTCTGACGGTCCAAGCCACTAAACAAATGCCTGAGTGGTCGTTTTCCAGGTGTCTCTCTACCTTTGTTTTTAACCTCTAAGTGTGTGGTAGCAAGGAAGTAACATGTTAAAGATGAAACTCAGAAAGAGAGCCCATATCCATTTGAGTCTTACTAAGGACAAAACAAAATCTCAATAAATTACCTTGCCATACATTTAGATAATATGTGTAGTCACTGTAAATTATTTCTATGTGTTAGTACACTCAGAGAATTATTTGAAAAATACCCTTGGTGTCCCTTTGCCTATTAGCATTGTGATTATTTGTGCTTAAAGGTATGGGGGGGAAGCATTTCTTTAAAAATATTCTGTTAGCCAGGCTATTTCCTATCTCTCCCTCCCCCACCAGTTGGAGTAGATTCACAATACTTCAGTTTATCAAAAAGACCAGTAAATGTGAAGCTAGAGAGTTGACAGTGGTGAACAGAGAGATTTGGAGATTAAAATGGAGAAATGAGGGTCAAATGGAAGAAAAGTGGACACAGGAGAAGGACAAGGAAGGAGATGGAGTACTAAGAAACAGGGAAGAGAAGGGACGAAGGTGAAAAGTTGAGACTCAGGATGGAGTGAAAAAAATAAGTAATTGGTAAGGGACAAGGACCAAGAAGAAACAGGCGAGGAGCACTGATTCAGTGTTAAACTTGTACAGTTTTGGAGATTAGAAGTTTGATGTGGGTGCCACTGGGTGAAAATCAAGGTGGTCACAGGGCTGCCTTTCTTTCTGGGCTCTAGAGGAAAACCCATCTTCAAGTTTTTCAGCTTTTAGAGCTTTCCTGCACACTTTGGCTTATGGTCCCCTTCCTCCTCCATCTTCAAAGTACATCTTTGGCCATTCTTATGTAGTCACCTCTCTCTCTCTCTCTCTGTCCATAGCCAGGAAAGGCTCTCCATTTTTAAGGACCCATGTAATTAGATTGGGCCCACTTGGATAATCCAGGATAATCTCCCAATCTCAAGGGCCTTAACAATCATATCCTCAAAGTCCCTTTTGCTTTGAAAGGTGATATATTCACTGGTGTGGGAATTAAGACATGCACATGTTGGGGGGTCATTATTGTGCCAACTTCAGAGACCATGTGGTATTAATTGGAACCCTATCTGTAGGTCAAAAGATCAGGCAGTACACTAGCAGGTGAATGTTTTTCCAGGCTAGGCCATGTCAAATGTATTTTAGCATATATACTGTTTGAAATGTAGGAATAGAATGTCATTTAGTCTCAAAGAATTAAAATAAGTATATTTTGGTAACGAAAAGTGTGTGTGTGTGTGTGTGTGTGTGTGTGTGTGTATGTATGTATGTATGTTTTTTGTTATGTCCTGATGCAAGAGAGAAAAAATAAATAAATGGATGGCCTATGAAACCTTGTATGAAAATATGAAATCCCCTACTCTGAATAGCCTGGAGCCCAGGAGTAGGTAGCAAGCCACTGAAGTGGGCAGTTCATTTGACCCTGCATGAACTGGGGCCATGAGTCCCACTTTTGAGGACTCTTCTTCCCTTGATGTTTCTCTGTGGAAATGCTTATGGATTCAGAATAACTGCAGATGATTCCATATAACAGGTCCTGCTGACGTGATACCTAATGAAGAGTTGATCCTTAGTCCTGTTGTAGCTGAGGGGCAACCTGTAGAATGTATTCCCTCATTCACAGGCACTCATGTGCTTGCTTTTTTCACACATCATTGTAAGCAGATTAGCCCTTTGTGGGGAACATTGGCCAGAACCCCTCTAGGAACTCAACTTTACCACCTGATTCAGATTGATGCCCAGTTCTTGGTTTAACCACTCTTCTCCCAGCACTCTGGGCAAGCCAGAAGTAGAAGTAAAAAATTCTGTGTGAGAAAGAAACATGAAGTCTGGGAAAGAAAGAAGCTTTGTGATTGGCAGGTTGCTTTTCAAAAATAGGCCTGACCTTTTGCTTAGAGACCTCAGAAAGGAAATGTAGTGTCTCAAATTATCCACAGACAGGGCTATTTATTATGTTCCCTTCAAATGGAAAGTAGCACTTGTTTGTTGAATACAGAGTTGCAAGTACTTCCTGGTCACCGGCTGTTAGTGCTGGGCATCTCTGCGGGTTTTGTTGGATGAGAGGGTTCATATACATAAGTCGCGTCACACACGTTTGTGTGTATAAACATATACAAATTCGTGTAAAACCATCTTATATTTGTCAAACACTTGACTTTTTCGAGTTCTTTCACCTCAGCTATTTCATCTGGTCAAAGCAGATATGAAAATGGAGTCATGGACCTACTAGCCATTTTATTCTTATCTCACTTGGTCACAGGACTAGGTAGTGAGAACTTAGATTAGAACCGGTTTTTTTAACTTTCAAACCAGGGCTTTTTCTACTTGATTATGTCGATAAAAAAAAAATTCTAATAACTCATGAGTTAGAGCAGAGTTTTAATGATTTCAGAGCTGTCAGAGCTATAACACCAATTCTCACTTACAATGTATATTTAGCCTCAATTGACTACAACTTGGTGGTGGGGGGTGGGGGAGAAACAAAAAGAAAATGGCATTTTATGCAATATTATGTAAAAACATAACAAGATCTTTAAAATTGCAACATTATATAAAGAACTAGGAAAGACCTAGAGAAAACAAAAACTTTGCTGCCGTACTATTTTAGAATACAGTTTTAGCACCTGGTTTTGATCACACGGTGCATATAAGGATCAAACAAATAAAAGCAGAAATGACCTCTGAGCTTAAATGTTCAACATGCACAAATCTGAGCATTTTCTGTATTTAATCCCAATGTAATTAATCCCACCAAAAATAGGGTAAGTGATACACAATTAAATTTAAATTTAGGCTATAGAATTTAGAATTCTGCACTTCACCTCATGTGTTTCTTTCCCATAGTAAGTCTAATCCCATAGTAAGTTGTATAAAACTTAATTTACTTAAAAAATGGTGAACATATTTTTGGGGGACTGGTTTGGGCTCAGAATGATTTTCTGTATTATTTATAACATTTAACCAGGTTGAAGTTTTGTTTTTGTTTTTGTTTTTATGCCAATCTAAAAGTACACACAAAACCGGTTTCTTCTTGCTTTTACTTGTCAGTTTTCAGTAAATGATAATTTTTAATCTTTCAAAAGTATGCTTTAAAATAATGTGATTTATCTTTTTATCTCACAATTTTTTCTGGCCTCAACATATTTCTGTAGCCATACTAAATCTCAACAGGAAAAAAATTTCACACACACAAAAATGCCTCCTAAATATATATATCCTGTATATTTTGCTAATGATATTGTGGCAGATATGAATATAATATGTAGTTAAATAGATGAAAAGTGACTTCTATTTGGAATACTGTAAGGAATGAGGTCTGGATCACATAAAGGAGAGGCTCAGAAAACCTATCTAATTCCACTGTCTTACTTCATGCAAAGAGCATAAAACAACTCTTCAGGCCTTTATTCTTCAAAATAGAATGTGTTTCATTAGGAATTCTACTCAAAGAGTGAGACTGCATACTGAGAAAATTATGTAGCAATCATCTTTCCCTAACTAGAAGTAAAATACAAATGTGGAAAAGTTCACAGCATTTCATGCCCCGAGACTCCCTCCATGACCACCTGGAGACATGGCTGAATCAAGAGAAGATACCATGGACCCTCAATAGGCTCAATATTAAGAGTCTGTGCAATAACTTCGAGGTCCTTCTCTGATTAGCTGTGTTTTCTCATTTGCATTTGTAGGCTGGAGAACAACTGGAAAGTCCACATCTAAAAATAAACAAAGCAAAGCAATAAATATCCTCTTATCATGTTACATTTCCTTTAATGGGACGGGTGGTGGGTATTTTGTTGAAATGATGATAGGCAAATCAATTCAGTTCATAAGATATTCAGGATACCTACCCTTTAAAGGACTTCAAAGGGGAGGAAACACTATCTTTATTCTTCATTTTAAGTTCTTTGAGTTACAGAATAATAAAACCAAAGCACTGAACCCAGCTTTCACCTTGAGACAGTGGCTGAACCTGGTGAATTGAGAATTACTTTTCATCATCTTGTGCAGATGAGAACAAGATCACCACAAATGTCATATAGAGTCAGTGTATAGCTATATGAAATATGCCTCCAGAGTTGTGCAGTACATAATTCATATGGCTTTGGTTGGGAAAGAGGCCAAAATCCAGAGCTTGCTTAGATGAAGAATCTTATAGGAAGCTCTCCACATAAAACTAGTACTCAAAATGGGTATGCACACTCAAAATCATCATACTCCTGTATCTATAAGGAAATTTGTTAGTCTTGAGTTTTCATGCTGAGATGACGGAAGAAAGAGCTCCCCTAAAAATGTTTAATGGCAAGCCAAGGAACATACATAGTGGCAGACCAAATTTACAATACCTGTGTGTCCTAAGAAACCTCAGGCTGATAATTTAGTTTAAAATAGTCCAGTACAAGATGTGCTCCCAAGCACCTAGCAGAAGTGAAACACCCATCTTCAACTCAGGCCTCAAAGAATCTCTAAAAAATTGTAGGAAACATGAATTCATAGTAAAAATAAATAGACATAGGAGAGAGAGGGAGATTGAGAGAGATTTAAAAGGAAGGAGGGAAAGGTCACATGTAGAAACAATGCATACACTGAGAGCCAGTAAAAACAACAGAAAACCAAATCAGATGTACAAACCCTTTAACCAAGGGATATACCTAGGTTATGTATATATACCTAGAAAACTCTAGTACCCATGTAACAGGAAAAATGTACAAGAACATTCATAACAGCACTGTTGTTATGGCAAAAAGTGGAAACTACCCACATATCCATTAACAGTAAAAGGGTTAAATAAATTATGGGGTATTCTCACAGAGGAATATTATTCATCAGTGAAAATGAGTGAAAGATAGTCATGATATGAATGAATCTCAGAAATAAAATGGGGGAAAAAGCAAACTGAAGGTAAGTGTTGCATGTTAAGTCCATTCATTGAAAATTCAAAATTATGTTCATCATCCACTATGATTAAAATATTTCAACAAAGTGGGTATTTTCATAAAAGCCATATGACAAACCCACAGCTAACATCATATCATATTCAATGGTCACAAGCTAGAAGTTTTTCCTCTAAGGTCAGGAATCGGACAAGGATGTAAATTTTTGCCATTTTTATACAACATGGTATTAGAAATCCAAGCCACAGCAATCAAACAAGAAAAAGAATTAAAAGGCATCCAAATTTGAAAGATGTAAAGCTATCACTATTTACAGATGATGTGATACTGTATTTGGAAAACCCTAAAGACTCCACCAAAAAAAAATCCTTGAAATAAGTGAATTCAGTAAAATTTCAGGATGCAGAATTAGTATACAAAGATCTGTTGCACTTCTACACACTAAAAACAATCAGAAACGGAAATTAAGAAAATAATCCCTTTACAATTGCATCAAAAAGAATAAGAAATACATAGGAATAAATTTAAACAAGGAGATAAAGACCTACACTCTGAAAACTATAAGACATTGAAGATGACATGGAATAAATAGAAATAAATGGAAAGATGGATTGTAAGAATTAATATTGTTAGAATGTCCATACTACCCCAAGTGATCTACACATTCAGTGCAATCCCTATCAAAACATCAATGGCATTTTTCACAAAATTAGAACAAATAATCATAAAATTTGTATGGAACCACAAAAGACCCTGAATAGCCAAAGCAATCTTAAGAAAAAATAAAAAAAGATGGAGTTATTACACTCTTGGATTTCAAACTATACTAAGGATTATAGTATTCAAAATGGTATGATACTGGGACAAAAACACACACATAGGTCAGTGGAACAAAAGAGAGAGCCAGAACCCATGCTTATGTGGTCATTAAATTATGACATGGAAGCTATTAAATACAATGGGGAAAAGACAGTTTCATCAATATGAAATAGTCTCCCAGTATTGGAAAAATTGGACAGCCATATGCATAAGATAAAACCGGATCACTTTCTTAACACCATATTAAAAAATAAACTCAAAATGAATTAAAAACCTACATATAAGACCTGAAATCATACAACTCCTAAAAGAAAACATATGCAGTAAACTCTCAGACATTGTCTTAGCAATATTTTTTGGCTTTCCTTAGGCAAGGGCAATAAAGGAAAAAACAAATGTAATAACATCAAATTAAAAAGCTTTTGCACAGTGAAGGAAATCATAAACAAAACTGAAAGGCATCCTAGAATGGGCGAAGATATTTGCAAATTATATATCTAATAAGGGGTTAATATCTAAAATAGATAAAGAACTGATACAACTCAATATTTTAAAAAAACCCAAACAAGCCAATTAAAAAAATGGGCAGAAGACCTAAATAGACATTTTTCCAAAGAAGATATACAGATGGCTAACAGACACATGAAAAGAAGCTCAGCATCATTAAACAGTTATAATTTATAACTGTATATCACAACCTCAATGATCTATCACCCCACACCTATCAGAAAGACTAGTATCAAAAAGACAAGAAATAATAAGTGTTGGCAAGGATGTGGAAAAAAGAATTCTCATGCACTGTTGGTGGAAATGTAGATTGGTGCAGCCACTATGGAGGTTCCTCAAAAAATTAAAAATAGAATGACCATACTATCCAGCAATTCCACTTCTGGGTATTTATCCAAAGAAAAAAAACACTAATTTGAACAGACATAGTGCCCCTATACTATTTACAACATTATTTACAACATTATTATTTACATATTATTTACAACATTATTTACAACAACCAAGATATGGAAGCAACCTAAGTGTCCATCAGTGGATGAATGGATAAAGAAAATGTGATTACATATATGTACAATGGAATCTAATTCAGCTATAAAAAGAGGGAAATCCTGCCATTTGCAGCAACATGGCTAGACACTGAGTGTTTTAGCTAAGTGAAGTAAGTTAGAAAAAGACAAATACTGCATGACCTCACATGTGGATTGAAAAAAACAAACTCAGAGAAAGAGATCAGATTTGTGCTTATCAGTAGCAGAGGGATGAGGAATGGGAAAACTGGAGGAAGGCGGTTAAAAGGAAGTTACAAATGTCCCGTTATAAGATAAATAAGTACTGGGGATGTAATGTACAACATGATGACTATAGTTAATACTACTGTATAGTATATTTCAAAGTTGTTAGGAGAGTACATCCTAAAAGTTCTCATATAAGGAAAATCATTTTTTCTTTCTTTTGTATCTATATGAAATGCTGGAGGTTAACAATTGTGGAAATCATTTAATAATATATGTAAGTCAGATCATTATGCTATAAACCTTACACTTATACAGTGCTTTATGTCAATTAAATATCTCAATGAAACTTAAAGAAAAACAATAAAATGTCCATTAAATATCTCAATGAAACTTAAAGAAAAAAAAATGATTTAAAACGAACAAGGAACTTAAAAGATAATGGCAACAGAATACACATTCTTCTCAAGTGCACATGGAACATTTTCAAGAACAGACCATATACTAGGCCACAAAAAAAGCCTCAGTAAATTAAAAAGATTGAAATTGTACCAACCAGTTTCTCAGACCACAAAGGTATAAAAGTAGAAATAAATTACACAAAGAAAATGAAAAATCCCACAAACACATGGAGGCTTCACAACATGCTCCTAAATAACCAATTGATCAATGACCAAATAAAAACAGAGATCAAGCAATATATAGAGACAAATGACAACAATAATTCAATACTGCAAAATCTATGCAACGCAGCCAAGGCTGTGCTAAGAGGAAAGTATATTGCAATACAGGCCTACCTAAGAAAAGAAGAACAATCCTACATAAGCAGTTTAAACTCACAATTAATTAAACTAGAACAAGAAGAACAAATGAGGCCCAAAGTCAGTAGAAAGAGGGACATAATAAAGATTAGAGCATAAATAAATAAAATTGAGAAGAATAAAACAATAGAAAGAGCTGGTTCTTTGAGAAAATAAACAAAATAGATAGACCCCTAGCCAGACTTAGTAAGAAAAAAAGAGAGTCTACTCACTCACATAAACAGAATCAGATATGAGAGAGGAAAAATCACTACAAGACAGTGCAGAAATACAAAGAATTATTAGAGAATACTATGAAAAATTATATGTTAACAAAATGGATAAACTAGAAGAAATGGACAACTTTCTAGAAAAATACAACCTTCCAAGCTTGACCAAGGAAGAAATGGAAAATCTGAACAGACCAATTACCAACAACGAAATAGAACTGGTAATGAAAATACTACCTAAGACAAAACCGCTGGATCAGATGGCTTCACTGCTGAATTTTATCAAACATTTAGTGAAGACCTAATACCCATCCTCCTTAAAATTTTCCAAAAAGTAGAAGGAGAGGGAATACTTCCAAACTCATTCTATGAGGCCAGCATCACTCTGATACCAAAACCAGGCAAAGACACCACAAAAAAAGAAAATTACAGACCAATATCCCTGATGAACATAGATGAAAAAAATACTCAACAAAATATTAGCAAACAGAATTAAAAAACACATAAAAAAGATAATCCATCATGATCAAGTAGGATTTACTCCAGGGATGCAAGGATGATACAACATTTGAAAATCCATCAACATCATCCACCACATCAACAAAAAGAAAGACAAAAACCATATGATCATCTTCATAGATGCTGAAAAAGCATTTGACAACATTCAACATCCATTCATGATAAAAACTTTCAATAAAATGGGTATAGAGGGCAAGTACCTCAACATAATA